ACTCTCTGCTTCCACAGCTAAATACAAAGATCTATCAGATTTTTCCAAGGCCCGGTGCAGTGGCTCATGCCTGTAATACCAGCACTTTGGGAGGCTGAGCCAGGAGGATCACCTAAGGTCAGGAGTTTGAGACCAGCCTGGCCAACATGGTGAAACCCCGCCTCTACTAAAAATACAAAATTTAGCTGGGCGTGGTGGCACATGCCTATAATCCCACTTACTTGGGAGACTGAGGCAGGAGAATCTCTTGAACCCAGGAGGCGGAGGTTGCAGTGAGCTGGGATCATGCCACTGCACTCCAGCCTGAGTAACAGAGCAAGACTCTGTGTCACAGTGTTACATGTGTGAGATCTATCTAGGTGGAGGTTTGGTGTCTTTTTTTTTTTTTAATGAGAAGGAGTCTCACATGTGCCCTGACTGGAGTGCAGTGGCCCGGCCAATTTTTTTGTATTTTTAATAGAGACAAGATTTCACCATGTTGGCCAAGCTGGTCTTGAACTCCTGACCTCAGGTGATCTACCTGCCTTGGCCTCCCAAAATGCTGGGATTACAGGCCTGAGCTACCTTGCCCAGCCCGATTAAAGTATTTTGATATGAAAAGACTTAGATTCAAAACTGAGCAGAGTAAGGAGAGAGTGGAAACCTGTAAGGCATTCTTCTTGCTGGAGCAGATGTAGCAGAAGTAGCTTGGGTCTGAAGAAATAGTTCTGGCACGATTCCTGACCCCCAGATCATAACTAATTTGATGTGTTCATGGAACAAACAGATGCCACAGCAACTTCATGCTCCCCAGATCTCAGTCAAGGTGCTATGAACTTGGACCCTGATCTTCTATTTGTAGTAGCAGTGGCAGTTCCCTTGACAGCTCCTGCTGCAACAGTGTTCTGGGAGACTTCCCTGGGGATCCAGCTGAGAGCCTGCTCTTGCAACCTTCAACAGTGCTCTAACACCAGTCAATATCAAATCCCTTTCTGCTTAAGTTAACCAGAGCAGTGTCTACTATGGGTAATTGAATCATGACTGATGCAGTTATCAAATATAAACTGATGACAATGGCAAGTGGGAAACCTGCTGTTTTACAAATACCAGATGTGCATCACATGGAGGTTTATTCACTCTTATTTGTGTTTTGATAATAATCCTTTCTAATAATTGGTTCCTTGGTGTAATCTTTATGAAATTAACCTGAATGGCTCAAAATTCATTTTGTATCACTGAATGCAATTACTAATTGAGCTATTTAACCAAACTAACCAGCCACCTACAGCTACTTAATCTTACTGGCCTACTATAGTAGAAGCTCTGAATCACCCTTATCTTAACCAGATAAGGGATACCATACATTCTCTCTGAAGAACACCACTGACGCTCACACACTTGGGTAAATAGGCTATGCTTATTATTAATATATCCAAGTACCAGTTGAATACTCAGCAAGTCCACAGTATTTCCAATCTAGTTTATGCCAGCTGTGTAAGTATGAGATATAATTAAAAATTATGTAAGTAGATTAGCTGTGAATACAACAATGTTATTGTTTCTACCAAATTTAACTTGAATCCTTTGGAAAGCACCATTAAAGAAGAGGTAATTCATTTTTAATCTCAAATGAGATGTGAGAATTGTAACAGTAAAAAGTTAGGAGATCGGGAATTTGTAAACATCTACAAGGATTCTGGCTCATATTGCTTCTCAAGTATCCTAATTCTCGTACTACTGTTAAAAACAACCCCCCCCCAACACACAAAAACAAAAGAGAAACTGGCCAGGTGCTGTGACTCACACCTGTAATCCCAGCACTTTGGGAAGCCAAGGCAGGCAGATCGCTTTGAGCTCAAGAGTCCAAGACCAGCCTGGAAACATGGCAAAACCTTGTCTCTCCAAAAAAATATGAAAATTAGCCAGATGTGGTGCTTTCCACCTGTAATCCCAGCTACTTGGGAAGGCTGAGGCGGGAGAATTGCTTGAACCCGGGAGGTAGAGGTTGCAGTGAGCCGAGATTGCGCCATTGCACTCCAGCCTGGACAACAAGAGTGAAACTCCATCTCAAAAAAAAAAAAAAAAAAAAAAAAGACTTTAATCATATTTGGAATGTCAAATATAATGTAGATTTCAGCTCTCCAGAGTGCAGTCTCTTGAAGGTGCAGATTCTTCAGGCATCGAGCACGTGATTTTCATTATGCCTGTGATGATTCAGTCTTGGCTTTCTCGTCTCTTCATCTTTTTTGGGGCCTTGCATTCTCTTGACTCTACTTTTCTCTGCTGATCTCTTTCCTTCTCTCATTCTTTGTTTATGCATATAGCAGACAGTGGGTGCCGTAGCCCCTCATGACATTGTCTTTGCTCTCTAGTTCTGAGTCCCCGGGGAGTGATTGTGCCAGCTTAGTCAATTGTAGTCTGTAGGAGTGGCTGCCTGAATTTACCCCTGTAGGCTGGGAAGCTTCTTTGGGGCAGGGGCTTTTTCTGAATGGTCTTATTACAAGGGCCAAGGTATAGTTGATTCTCATTATTTGCAGTAGTTATGCTCTATAAAGTCATTATAAACAATGAACTAGTGAATACTGAAATGTTGCTCATAGTGGAAGTACAAGTTTAGGTTCCTGTCAGTCTCTGGTCAGAACATTTTCATCAATTGATCAATATATAATCTTGTTTTTTGTGTGTTTTCTTTTTAAAGACACTGTATTTAATATATAATTGTTGATTTGTTAACATTGAACTCATGGCCAACAGCACTGCAACTCATGACTGAACCAACCTTATGAAACATGTATTTTTGTCATAAGCCATATAGCTATAAGCCATAAACCATACTATTCTTGTACTTAGAAACACAAGACAGCGCTTCAGCATTATGCTTGGGGGCCATTTTAAGCAGCTAAATCACCAACAGACAGTGCAAAAGTGCAAAAATCATGGCACTGAACAGACCATAGAATGGACACTTGTTTGCATTATGAGAGCTGAAACAGGAAAGCCTTTGTTTGGCCTCCGCTGGGAATGTGTGCATTAGGCAATTCAAATTTTTCATTGCTCTGTGCATGTCTGTGAATGACCGTATAAGTGGTGATACAAGTACTGATTTTGGAGTTATAATTTTTTTTTTTTTTTTTTTTTTTGAGATGGAGCCTCACTCTTGTGCCCAGGATGGCAGTGGTGTGCTCTTGGCTCACTTGCAACCTCCGCTTCCTGGGTTCAAGCTATTCTCCTGCCTCAGCTTCCTGAGTAGCTGGGATTAAAGGTGCCTGCCACCATGCCCGGCTAATTTTTGTGCTTTTAGTAGAGACAGGGTTTCATCACATTGGCCAGTCTGGTCTCGAACTCCTGACCTTGGGTGATCTGCCCGCCTTGGCCTCCCAGGTGCTGGGATTACAGGTGTGAGCCACCGTGCCCGGCCTGGTTATAAATAAATTTTAGTAAGTAGGTAAATTTGTAGATATGGAATCTATGAATAATGAAGATTGATGACGCCTGTGTGGAGTGTGGGTGAGGAGAGCATTTAAAAAGAACGTTATCAGTTGGTGGGTAGTGTTGCCCGAAAAGCTTTGTAAGGGAGTCAACGTGTAAGATAAAGTCTGAAAGATGAGTTTTGCTAGATAGGCACCACTGAGGATAGGACAAGCCAATAGCAAAGCAGTTATGAGTAGAATCTCAGATTAGGCTCAGTTCCCATCTTCTGCTCCTACTAGCTTGGGACTTTGAGCAAGCATTTTATTCTCCATCATTAGTGAAATAGGGATATTCATGGTCACTCTCTCAATGGAGTTCTTATGGGATTTAATGAAGAGAATGAACATTAATGCACTTAACAGATGTCTTGCTCACAGAAAGTATTTGGAACGGCATACGCGTGACACATATGTCTATATACAGCACCAGCAAAGGAGGGAAATGGCTTCACTCCCTTGGGAACATCGAGTGGCTTTAAGTGAAGCAAAGGTTTCAAGTGGGCAAAAGGGGTCTTTGAGGGCCAGGCACGGTGGCTCACGCCTGTAATCCCAGCACTTTGGGAGGCCGAGGCGGGCGGATCACGAGGTCAGGATATCGAGACCATCCTGGCTAACACGGCGAAATCCCGTCTCTACTAAAAATACAAAAAATTAGCCGGGCGTGGTGGCAGGCTCCTGTCATCCCAGCTGCCGGGAGGCTGAGGCAGGAGAATGGTGTGAACCCAGGAGGCGGAGCTTGCAGTGAGCCGAGATTGTGCCACTGCACTCCAGCCTGGGCGACAGAGCGAGACTCCGTCTAAAAAAAAACAAGAGTTGGGGCGTCTTTAAGGAGGGAGAGGAAAGGCAGGAGCTAGATTCATGGCTCTGTACTGGAACGATATTGAGCTATTGAAGAGTTTAAAAGAGGGATAACATCATCAGTTTTGTGTCCAGAAAGTTTGCTTTATGTTTTTATAGATGTATAGAAGAGAATTGAGGGTGATGAACTAAAGGGAAAATCAGCAAAGGCTCTTGGGGTGGTTGAAGAAAAAAAACGACAAAAGTCACTCAGGATAGTAATAGTTGGTATGGAGACTAGAGAATGGATATGAAAGATGCTCAGGATGTTTAATTGACTACAAAGGTCACCACTCAGGCGTGGAGAATAAGAGAAGGTAGGCTTGGGAAGGCTCTTGGGATTGTGATGTTGGCCTTGCAGTAGAAGATGGGGTTGGTGTATAGGAGATGCTTTCACTTTTCACTTCTTTCTCCATCTTTACCCTGGTGAAAGGTGGCTCCCACTGTTCTTGTTCTAAAGGCTTTTGTGGTGCTTTGTGCTTCCCTTTATTGCAGCACCTGACCTGTGGTATAATAACCGTCTGTGTACTTGTTCTTTCCTGCACTTGTAAGCTCTTTGAGGATTAGCTGTGGTCAGTGCTGCCCACAAAGAGGCAACCTAAACTGTGGATGGATTGAATGAATAAGGACTGAGACTGGGATACAGAAGCAGATTTTGGAGGATAGATTCCTTTTTATCCTTGTTAAGTTTCAGATTCATTGTTGTCTCTATACAGCTTTATATTCATCTTCAAATGGCTGTGCCAGCAGGCGCTTAGATTTACTGGACTGAGATTCATGGGAGAGAGGCCCAGGTCGCATTTTTCCGAGGTATTGGGAAGGACAGTTGAGGCCAGCGTGGATGAAGTCTCCCATAGTGTCTATGTTTGGTGGAAAGGGAAGATGACTGCAGAAAGGGCCTTGTAGCATAGCAGTAGTGGAGGGGTTGGCTGAGGAGTTAGGGGCATGGAAAGGAGTTCCAGAGAGGGCAGTGACCATCAGAGAGTGAGGAGGGGCTGGTTTCCCACCACCCACAAAAGCTGTGCCTGGAGAGGCCTTTCCAGTTTCAGAGGCTGCAGAAGGGTGGGTAAGAGGACTAAAAACAACATAATGGTTGTAGCAATTAAAAGGTCACTGGCAACTTTTTCTGGCGTGATTTCAATCCACTGGTGGAGGCAGACATCAGATTGCAGTGGGGATGAAGATTTGAGTTAGGAGGTGAACTGGACAAAGTGAGTGGAGGCCATTCTCTGTTGAGGTTTGTCTATGAGAGGTTGGGCAGAGAAGGCTGTAGCTTGGGTGAGTCTAGGAGGGGACATGGTATACAGGAAGCCTTTGAAAATTATATGGGAGAAATTTGAGCATCTGTAGGCAGTGAGGAAGAAACTCATCGAAGATATTTAATTTGAATGTTTTTTCTTTCTTTCTTTCAAAGCCAGCATGCAGATGTTACTATAACCTGGCAATATGCTAAATTCTTATATTTAGTGGCTTATTGGCTCTCCATCACAATGCAGTTGTTTAGGTCATGTTACCCCATTTTACTGATGGGGAAGCAGAGGCCTTGTTTAAGTAACTTTCCTGAGGTCACACAGCTACTAAGTGGAGGGGACATGTGGGAGGGATTAAAATCCAGTTATTTTTTTCTGATCCTGAGGAGAAAATAAAAATCCAGTTAGATGTGTTATGTCCTGCCTCATCCTCCCAAGTAGCTGGGACTACTGGTACGTGCCACCACGCCTGGCTAATTTTTTTGGTATTATTAGTAGAGACAGGGTTTCACCATGTTAGCCAGGCTCATTGTGAACTCCTGACCTCCAGTGGTCTGCCCGCCTTGGCCTCCCAAAATGGTGAGATTACAGGTGTAATCTCACCACACTCGGCCCACTATGTTCTTTATAGTAAAAGAAAGAGGAAAAAAAAACTTTTTGATCTAGGATCCAAGGCGCTCTGTCCCAGAACTATCTCCTTGAGTCTGCCCTTCCATTCCTACCCTGGCCTCAGCAGGCTGGTGGAACAAGATGGAGTGGTGATCAGAATGGGATAAAAGGGATGAAATAAAAGCGGCCTGGACTTCTGAGAGAGAAATGAGGCCTGGCTCAGTCAAAAATGGTCAAGGGGCTTAGGGAGTTTCTTTGCAGTGTTGCTTTCTAATGTGGGGCCCAGACGTGGGGGGCCCCTTCAAGCCCTCTTGTGGTTCAATAACTGGGTAGATGTGCTAACGGTTAATGGAGAGTTGTGGAGGTGGCCTGCGACTTCCCTTTTCCTCCCCAGTTTAGAAACATTTGAGAAGGATGAAGTTAGATGAAAAGTCTTAGTATTAGGAGCTTTGTTGTTGATAAAGCTAAGATTGGAGAACGTGGTCCTCTTCTCCTTTCCCTCCAGTCTGGCCCTTCATGCCTGTATTAGTTTCCTAGGGCTAATGTAACTAATTATCACAAACTGGGATGGCTTAAAGCAAGAGAAGTCTATCCTTTGACAGTTCTGGATGCTAAAGGTCAAAATCAAGGTGTTGGCAGGACCATGTTTTCTCTGAAGGATTTAGGGAGGAATCTGCTCAGTTCCTTTCTTGTAGTTTCTTGTGTTTGCTGGGAGTCCTTGACATTCCTTGGCTTGCAGCTGCATGACTCCAGTCCCTTTCTCCATCTTCACATGGCACTCTTTCCTGTGTCTCTTCTCCTCTTCCTCTTTTTTTTTTTTTAAGATAGAGTCTCACTCTGTCACACAGGCTGGAGTGCGGTGGTGCAATCTCGGCTCACTGCAAACTCTGCCTCCCGGGTTCAAGCAATTCTCCTGCCTCAGCTTCCCCAGTAGCTGGGATTGCAGGCACCTGCCACCTTGCCTGGTTAATTTTTTTGTATTTTTAGTAGAGACAGGGTTTCGCCATGTTGGCCAGGCTGGTCTTGAACTCCTGACCTGGTGATCTGCCTGCCTTGGCCTCCCAAAGTGCTGGGATTACAGGCATGAGCCACTGTGCCTGGCCTCTTCTCTTCCTAAAAGGACACCAGTCATAGTGGATCAGGGCCGACCCTAATCAAATATGACCTCATGTTACCTTGATTACATTTGCAAAGACTTTATTTCCAAATAAGGCCATATTCACAGGTGTTGAGGGTTAGGTTTCAGCGTGTCTTTTGGGGGGAAACACAAGTCAATCCCTAAAAATGCCCAACCAAAGCAGTGTGCAGAGCAGAAGCTTGCTTGGCTCCTGTGAGGCCACACCCAGTGTGCTGAGTGTTGGGATTGAAAGGCCAGACTCCATCACCTCAGGTGGGTCCCAGAATCCTTCTTTTTCTAGCCAAAGACGTAGTCTGCTAACTGCGAGTGCCTGGGTTCCTAGAGGGCTGTGTTTTAAAGTAGATACTGAAGTGTTCTCTTCAGAGGCAGTTAGCAGTGCACATCAGTTCTGTGGCCGGCTTTGTTGAAAAAACTAATACATGATGAGAGCTGTCAGTTTTTACTCCTCCCACAGAATTTGTTTAAGAGAATACAAGTCAGAAACACAGGTGTACACAGGGAAGGAAGGCATTGTTGGATAGAGTATTACATTTGGCTGGAAAGCATCAGCCTTGGTTTCTTCTTTATTACCAAATAAAGACACATTCTCATTAGAACAAAGAGAGTAGATGTTTGTCCTTTATCATAATGTAAAAAATTTCAGAAACAAACATGGGTTGTTATGTGAGTTAGTGCTGGACTTTATTCAATGGAAAGGTCTTTAGCTTATTAAAAAAATTATTAGGGTACTTGCTATAAATATTGTTTTTGCTGTAGGTGGTCTCAGAAACGTTGAAGACCAGCTCTGTGGAAGCAAGATAACAGTTGCTATCAGAGATAGTATTGTCATTCACTTTGGGGACTCAGTCAAAAGAAGGGTAGCATTTAAAAAAATGATTATCACCTTCAGCTAAAAATCATAGTGGTGCTTGTTGTAAGATATACCTCTCTTCCTATGACTTGGAAACATTACTGGAAGAACATTTTAAACTTCTATTTCTTCCTGGTTCAGAAAAATAAAGGTAAAAGAGAAACAAGAGGGACTGGGGATTTAATTGTAGCATGATTAAGTTTAGTAAGAAGAAATATGACTAGGAGGAACTCAAGGAATGGAACATTTATTAATATAAATACCTTTTAAATGTAATGAATGTAAGTAGGCATCCCCCCAAAAAAGAAATGAAAATGGCTATGTGTGTTCAGAAATGATCACTGTCACTAACAAATAAATGAAACTTAACCAGACTTTTTTGCCTATCATATTGGCAAAGATCTAGGTGGTGTAGTAGGTGTTAGATCATTTAACATATTTAAAATTTTATGATTATCCTATGTTAACTTCAAAGATAGAAAAAGGTCTAAAACCTAAGCTACCTAGGTCTTTATATATCTGATTTGTAGGTAGAAATAGTTTTGTGTAATCAAGGGAGTAGTGATGCTAGAAACTGGCAGAGTATATTTCCTAGACCAGTTAGCAAACTAGGTCAAAGGCTAGGTTTAATTCTAGTAGCTATTAATTTGCTGCATGTCTTAATAATCTCTGTGCCTCAATTTCTTGTCAGAGCCATTTTTCGTTTGTTTGTTTTTTGAAACTTAGTCTCTCTCTGTCGCCCAGGCTGGAGTTCAGTGGCAAGGTCTTGGCTCACTGCAACCTCCTCCTCTGGGGTTCAAGTGAGTCTCATGCCTCAGCCTCCCTAGTAGCTGGGATTATAGGTGCGCACCACCACGCCTGGCTAATTTTTGTATTTTTAGTAGAGACAGGGTTTCGCCACGTTGACCAGGCTGGTCTCAAACTTCTGACCTCAGGTCATCCGCCTGCCTCGGCCTCCCAAAATGCTGGGATTACAGGTGTGAGCCACCATGCCCAGGCCCAGAGCCATTTTTCTGTGGCTTAGACCAGAAATCTTGATTCCTATTTCTCTTCTGTCAAGAAATTGTGTTCAGAATATACTTGCAATCTGCAATCTGACCATTTCCCTCTGCCCATCCTGGGTCCAAGCTACCATCTTAACTTGCTCGTGTGGAGCATCTTAACTTGTTCGTGTGGATTGCCTCCTTGTTGACCTCCCTGCTTCCAGCCTTGTCCTTTTTTGACACAAGAGCCAGAACGTGATTTATGATATGTGAGCCAGCTCACTTCTGTGCTTCAGCTGGTCCAGAAGAGTTTCCTTAGAGACAGCCTTATCTCCTTAAAGGGAAATGGATGTTTGAGTACCAAGAACTGGATGACTAAGAAGGGGAGGAACCCCAGGAATCAGTTCCCATTTCATGGAGAGTAAATGCCAAACTCCTTTTCTCCCCAGTTTCATCTCTCACCATTCTTCTCCTTGCTTACTGAGTTCCAGCCACACGCATCTCTTTGCTGTTCCTTGAAGAGTCCGAGAGTCTCTTTCCTTGTTACCTCAGCCTAAAATGCTTTTCTTCTAGGTATCTGTATGATTAATTCCCTCCTTCAGCCCTTTGTCCCTCCGAAGTGCCTTCCCTTGCCTACCCTGTGTAAAATAGCCACCCCTCCCCTTTGCACTCTATCCCCTTACCCTTGGTTCTTCTTCATAGCATGCACTTTTTATTGTCTGTTTCATTCCGTTAATGTCAGGACTTTGTTCCCTGGTGAATGACTGCAGAGCAGTTCGGCATTCAGTAACTATTTGTTGAATGACTCAGTGGATTTCCATTTTCCTAGTGGCTTCTTCCTCTGCCTAGAGAAATGCGCAGGCCACCCTTGTTCTTTAGCCTGTTGAAGATGAACACTGCCTTCTGTGTTCCAAATGTTTCTGCAGAGGTGATCTGTGGGCTTCTTCCCTGTACTCACTGCCCAGATTTTTCTGTTGCATTATTCTTTACCAGTCATGCAGGGAAATCTGTTTTCTAAGTAACTT